AGGTGCCTTGGAGCATGGCAGGCATCTGTAGAGAAAGACATCAAGCTGGTTTCTCTGACAGTCCGATTGAAGCCTCCTTCAGGGCATTCCCAGGATAGCCTCAAGAACTGTGCAAATAGGCAGGCATCATCTCAATATGTCACAGCCTGGGAGGAGGAGCTGCCCATTCTGTATGACCAAAAAGGGAAGTGATTTTTTTTTTTTTGCATTTATATCCGCACAATCACTGAAGGACCTCATGGACCTACCACCCATCTCTGTACCAGACTCAATTAATCTTCCTCAAAGGCTTGCTTCTTCTTCTCTGTTATGGCGGAGATGTACATAATCAATTAGAAGGAACCATGTCTAGAAAGAGCTTGAGCCTGTCAGCATCTTGTCTGCAACAGCAGAGAAAGCCACAGAACTCATAGGGGATTTAAATTCACTTTCAGCATGCTGTGCTGCACAAAACAAGTGCAGCCACTGCAAATGTGAAGGGGAAGCATTAAATCACCACATGGTAACTTTGGGAAAGATATCCCTTAGCTTTTTTTTTTTTTTTTTTTTTTTGAGAAAATGAGGGTGAAGAACTTGGTTCGTGTTGCTGCATCCTGGAATTTCTGCTGATTCTCTCTCTAGAATTTGTACTTCCAGGATTTGCAAATATCTAGTGGTGGGATCAAGGCCTCTGTGCCCCCAGAGTAATAAGAATAAGAATCAAGTTGGCATTTTCCTATGATTCAACCTGTGCTAGCTGATTCCTTTCTTCTCCCTATCGACACACCCAATTTTCCCAGCAGGACTGAACTAACTCAAACATTTTAAAAATGACTTCTTATCCCACATCTTAATTGAAAGAGCACTGTCCGGTGCTTAGGAGGAGATTGACATTCCAAGTAAGGTGAAGCTTATAGATCAACAGAGAGCAAATGGTAAGTGTGTGTTTGTGCATGTAAGAAAGAATATTACTAAAAATTATTATGTTTTTATTAAGATCAAAGACCCAAGGAACAGTCATTATGGTGAAGGAGATCCAGCTGTACCTGTGTATCTTCTTTGTGTTTGCATTTGGGATATTTTACGAGCTGTCCATTGAACCTGGTTGCCTCTTTGACTGCAAACCTATTTCCAAGAAGTTCCTGAATGAGAAAGAAGTCATGACCCATGGCGAAAAAATCATCTTTCTGGAGACAACAAATCGTTTACAGCCTCCTCCATTAGTTTTATGTTCTGTGGAATCTGCTGCCAGAATCTACTTAGATAGGCCTGTTGTTTTCTTTATGAAAGGGTTGGATAATAGCACATTGCTGGATATCAAATCTTCCTGTCCAGCACTTTCAGCCATATCTACTTTGAAGAATGTTTTCATTTTCCCACTGAAGATGGATATTTTGTTCCAGGGCACACCTTTACTGCCATGGTACCTTCAGGTGAGATGCACTGAATAACAGTTTTGGTGGGGTGCTGGAACTGGGCAAGTTTATTTATAGTAGATCACTGTGAGAACCAGTGTCATATAGTGCTTACAGTATTGGACTGGGATCTGGGAAACTCATGTTCAAACCTCCATTCTGCCACAGAAGCTTCCTGGGTGACCTTGGGCCAGTTATGCACTCTCAGCCACTGGAGAGAAAGGTAGGGTATAGATGTAGTCAACAAATAAATAGTGGTGACAAATATTGATCTTTCTGGGGGGACACCTAATTGATGCTTTATTTACTATTTCAAAAGTGGGGGATGCCTTTTTCTACCAGGACAGACCTTCACCTAGCAAGAACCAGGGCTCAGGGCTGGAGCATGTACTTTGTATGCAAGAGGTCCTAGCTTTAATCCATTGTATCTCCAGTGAAAGTTGGAAAAGACTGTGGCATGGAACAGCTGCTAGGATTGGGCAGCAGCTTCTCAGCATGATCAGCCAAATGCTGGATGTTTGGCCAGAAGTTACTTTGGGCCACCAGTAACAACCATGCTCCCACCAAGTCCTATTGGGAAGGAAAGCAGGGGCTCCTGGGGTGGGGAGTGGAGATTTCAGTCATTCTAGTCTCTGCTGATGGCTGTTGCCAGGGTTAGAGGGTTCAGTGGTACAGAATACCAGGAATCAAGCAGACCAGAAACCTCTAAAGGGAAAGATAATTACTTTTTGTGAGTAACATTATATTCTTCTACCCTGTAAGGGAAGAATGAGCAGGATGGTCTTTTCTGCTGGGATACCTGTAAGAGATAATATGAGAGGAGTCTGCCTTGAGGCCCCACCCCCCACCTGTATCTGAAGCCCATCACTGTACAGCTGGCCATGGCTGATATCTCTGCCTAAGCCATCACCCGTCAGAGCAGGCAATACTGAGCTAGATGGAATGGTCTAACCAGAGGTCATTTCGGGGGGATCATGGGGGATCACAGTTCCCCCGGGTGAGGTACGAGGGCGGGGCACATGACGAAGCCCTGCTTCCGGCCGCCCCGCTTCCGGCCCTCATTTAGCCAGGAGGAGGCGGGAGAAGAGGGAGGGTAAGTTGCTTCCTCCCTGCCTCTCCCCACCCCTGCCTGCCTGGGGCCAGGGAGGGCCTTCGCGGGGCTTCCTTGCACTCCTGCCGGCCTTGCAGGTCCACCACTGGGCCCCTCATGGGGCTCGGCAGTGGAGCTGCAAGGCCGGCGGCAGCGGCCGGTACCGTTGGGGGCAGGGTGTGTGGCCTAATGACACACTTCCGGTGATGTCAGGGGGTGTGGCCTTATGACACACTTCCGGTGATGTCAGGGGGTGTGGCCTTATGACACACTTCCGGTGATGTCAGGGGGTGTGGCATATGCTAATGAGTTATGCTAATGAGTTCCCCTAGCTCTTTTTCTACGAAACGACCCCTGAGTCTAACTCAGTGTTGTTGAGCTGAGTGCATATGGAACAGTGGGATTTGTGTTTTGTGCTGCTGAGGAAATAAACTTCACAAAGAGCCTGCTTTTACCTTTAGTAAAGAAATATGAATACTTTATTTAAAGGAACTGCATTCATGATAGGACAGAAGAGAGACAGTGTTCCAATCGAACTAGCTATACTAGGATAGCCCTCATGGTTGCAAGGTGGGGAGTGAGAAAGTGTTAGCTGGAAGTAAGGAATATTCCTTAACAGTAGCAATCTACACATCAAAAGGACAGTGTCAAAGCAGTAGAAAGGAAGGAATACACAGGTGCTCTGTTGACCTGACTATCACTCTGGCTCTCTATGATGGTGGTGGAAACTGCCGTCAAGTCACAGCTGACTTATGGCGATCCCATGGGGCTTTCAAGGCAAGAGGCATTCAGAGATGGTTTGCCACCGCCTGCCTCTGTGTCACAACCCTGGTACTCCTTGAAGGTCTCCCTTCCAAGTACTAGGCAGGGCCAACCCTGCTTAGCTTCCAAGATCTGATGAGATTGGCCGAGCCTGGACTATCCAGGTCAGGGTGTGGCTCTCTATAGTTCCCCTCTACAGTATGAGCAACAAGAGGTGGCAGGAGGCACATAATTCCATACCTTGACCCCTCACTCCTAGGTTATGTTACATCTACACTGGGTCTCAGAGATTTGGTTCAGAATTTCTACTTTCCTTAGTTTATAAATTCTGTTAAACAGAGTACAAAGAAACTAGTAACATGGTTGCTTATCATTTGAGAAACTGTTTTAAGTACTTACAAAAAGTAAAATATTCATCTTAGAACCTAAAGGCTATTTGTGATTCTCTGTTCATTTCGATCCTTGCAGATCAATACAACAAATGAGAAGTACTGGGTCTATATTAGCTCTGATGCAAGCAGGCTTGCAATGGTCTGGAAATATGGCGGGATTTATATGGACACAGATGTCATTTCTATCAGACCTATCCCAGTGGTAAATTTTTTGGCAGCCGAGTCTTCCAAGTTCTCCAGCAATGGAATCTTTGGTTTTCAGCGGCATAACTGGTTCCTCTGGGATTGCATGAAGAATTTTGTTGAGAACTACAATGGAGATATTTGGGGAAACCAGGGCCCTTTTCTAATGACAAGGATGCTGAAGGGGCTATGCAATCTTACAGATTTTCAGAATATGGAAGATCAAAGATGTCACAATATTTCCTTCTTGCACCCCCATCGCTTCTATCCCATCTCCTATCCACTGTGGGAGAAGTACTATGAAGTGTGGGACTCAATGCCAGACTTCAATTACTCTTATGCTTTACACCTGTGGAATTTCATGAACCATGAAAAGAAGAATATGACCGTGGGAAGTAACACACTAGTGGAAAACATATACAAAACATATTGCCCAACTACTTACTGGACCCTCGTTCAAGCAGCAGAAGGAAGTAAAGGGATGTCTCTAAATAAAACTAGCTGATCAGTAAAACAAGACAAGGGGATTTTTCTCTTGAAAACCGTGGTAATTCTAGGATAATATAGATGACCATATGGGCTTCCATTTTAGCCTCTAGTTCCAAAACAGTACAGTTATACAGATTACCTTGCAGCCAGGGATTCAAAACAAGCCCAAACACAAGAAACAGTTCAGAGGGGTTTTCCCCGCAATGAACTGGAACTGAACCTAAACCTAAAACCTCTCAGTTGCTTTGAATCCAAACTAGAACTGATCCCTTAAACACAAAAACTGGTAGAAGGTTCAGTAAAAGTAATTTAATAGCCAGTCACTTAGGATATCCTGTTAACGCAGGGCTCTTTTTGTAGAAAAAGTCCAGCAGGAACTCATTAGCATAATATGCCACACCCAACATCAGGAACTCATTAGCATATTGGGCCACACCCCTGACAGCACAGCTCATTAGCATATTAGGCCACACACCCCATGTTACCAGAAGTCTGGTCATCCAGCCACACCCACCTTTTGCTTGTTATTCTGTTTACCTTGTTTGTTGTCAAAACCCAGGGCTTTTTTTTTAGCAGGAACTCCTTTGCATGTTAGGCCACACACCCCTAATGTAGCCAATCCTAATGAGTTTCTGCTGTTGGGTGTGGCCTATTATGCTAATGAGTTCCTGCTGGGCGTGGCCAACTTGGGAGCCAGCCAGTTGCTGTGCGTTCCTGCCCCAAAATAGCCCTGCTGTTAAGGCCTGATACAAGTCCAGTAGCACCTTAGAGACTAACAAGATTTTTGAGGGTATAAGCTTTAAAAGAGCCAAAGGGTTCTTTTCTGCTTCACCTTTATACAGAGAAATTATATTTCATAGTAAGCTATCTGAAAAGAATGAAGAGCAGGAGAGATTGGTAGGTAGTGGCATTAGAGTCTTGCCAACCCAAAAGAATTTTTAAAAAAATCCAGAAGAGCCACATTCCAGTCACATTGGCTTTTAGACAAAAATAATTTAAAAATTAAAATACAAAGGGACATAATATTATTCCTGATATGTACATATTTTAAAATAGCATAGATTAAAATTCACTGAAAAAGCAGCAGGGCTGCTTCTTGATTATCCTAATAATGAACTAATGGTGATGGTTCAAATTTTAAGAGCAGCTGAAATGTAGTTGGCAACAACCAAAGTGGTGTAAAGAATATCATAAGAACATAAGAACAGCTTTGCTGGATAGGACCAGTGGTCCATCTAGTCCAGCATCCTTTCACTTCCAGATAGGATATTAAGTGATAATCATCTGAATTGTCAGGGAACATTACAAGAAATCGGCATGAAAAGAAAAGGGTTGCTAGAGTTTCAGGGACAAAGCCTTTGACCGTGTGGGGTATTCGAAAACCTATCATGTAGTTCTAAAACTGGTAATGTGTTAAAACAGGACGGGGGGGAGAGCAGAAGCATGAGGGAAAAGTAAGAATAGATATTTATTTTCAGCCAAAGGTCTTGAGGGCATCTCTTCATCTGGCTTCTCTTCTAAGATATTACCAATCAAGTAATTCAAACTGGTTAAGACGCTGAACTGCAGGCTGTAGAAGGTCAGTAGTTCAGCAGTTCGAGACCCGGGTGCCGCATGATGGAGTGAGCTCCCATCTCTAGTTCCAGCTCCTGCCAACCTAGCAGTTCGAAAGCAAGAAATTGCAAGTAGATAAATAGGTACTACTTCGGTGGGAAGGTAACAGTGTTCTGTGCACCTTGTTGTTTAGTCATGCCGGCCACATGACCACGGAAATGTCTTCGGACAGCGCTGACTCTTCGGTTTTGAAACAGAGATGAGCACCGCAACCCTAGAGTCGGATTTGACTGGCTTTCAAGCAAGGGAACCTTTACCTTTACTTAAACCCTAACTCAGTCAAAGCAAAACCTAATTCTAAATTTTTGGAGTCCAGAAAGTTACTCCAAGTACTAACAAAAGAATCAGAGCATAACCAAAGCAAAAGGGGAGAAAGAGAGATTCTGAGAGAAGTAAAGCTGACCTGAATTTTATGGCAGCAAAACAGGCAGAAGTGGCAGCTATTTTATACCGGTTTCTAGTAGAAGAGCTGATGATGCCATGCATCTGGGGGTAGTACCAAACAGTGCTCAGAGAAAAGATGATTGGCTGACTTCCATATTGTAACTAAACACCTGCACCCAAATGGGGACCCCATATAAGAGCTGGGCTGCCATTTTTGCCCAAAACAACTGAAAACTGATGGGATGTGTTGTCCACCAACAGAGAAAAAAGATCCCTGGACAG